ATACCACCCCGGTCCTGTGGGGGTGGACCCAGAATAAGAATTAGCCAATGCTAACATATAGCATTGGCAGACCTCTCAAAAACGTCTTTACAGGATGGTCCAAAAGTTGGCTCTTGGCCCAAAGCTCCGGTCCACATGCGTGTCAATGCTGAGGGGAGTGTTCTGGACCAGTCTAGTTTAGTCGTTGTGAATTTTTTAAGTCTCTCGTTCAAATGAATGGAGCTGCTCCGGCTGACGCATGCACAGATACATTTTTTCACAATTTTCTTGTGGGCGGGACCACTCGCAGCCATTTTGGATTGCTCCAGTAGAGCACATTTTTTGGCCCATTAGTTAGAACGGCGCAGATAGGCGTCACTCTGTCCATTAATATATAGTCTATGGAAAAAACGCATCTGTGCGTCAGCCGGCGAGAGCCTCATTCATTTAAACGAGTGACTTAAAAAATTCACAGCGACTAAACTAGACTGGTCCAGAACACCCCCCTCAGCATTGACACACATTTGTACCACCCCCATCGGCCGGGGGTGGTATTGCAGCATGTCTTTTGAGCCGGGACCCGCCCCCACTGGTTACACCTGAATACTATTTGGCATCGGCAAAAAGACTCGGTCGCAAGGCGGGTTGAAGGCCCAGTCCGACACACGTATACCTCAAAACAACTTCTGCAATAGTTCTCTCACAAGTTGGTCTTTGACATGAGGATTTGAGCTACAACTCTGTCCCTTTGATCCAGTCCGTCTCAATCCAAGCATGTACCTGTGCTCATTCTGATCTGAATATTATATCATAATCATTTTAAAGTGAATATTATTTTTCATATATTGCATGTAAAAGTTATGATGTGTTCAAAATACCTCCATCATGTGAAAAAGTAGACATGATTATAGAATATAATGGTCCCTGGTTTAGCGTGGGGGTGATGTGTTCTAAATATAACCCACAACCAAAGAAATCCTTGAAGTAGCAGCTGTTTGTTGGTGAGATATCAAACTGGGTCTGAGCTGCTGCAGCTGTCAAAAGCCTTGCATGAACTGTCACATAAAGCTGCAGAGGACACTGAGGGGCAGGAGCGGTACCAGATACTAAAGTGTAGAGTTAGAGTAGAGTAGAGTACAGTAGAGTAGAGTACAGTACAGTAGAGTACAGTAGAGTAGAGCAGGGTGTAAACAGGGCCTAAAAAACCAGTTGAGGTCTGGAGTACCAAGAGAGTGTGGTGAAATAGCATTGATAGTACTAGGAGAGTGTGGATAGTACCAGGAGAGTATTGATAGTACCAGGAGAGTATTGATAGTATAAGGAGAGTATTGATTGCACCAGGAGAGTATTGGTAGTACCAGGAGAGTATTGGTAGTACCAGGAGATTATTGATAGTACCAGGAGAGTGTTGATAGTACCAGGAGAGTATTGATAGTATCAGGAGAGTGTTGATAGTACCAGGAGGGTATTGATAGTATCAGGAGAGTATGGATAGTACCAGGAGAGTATTGATAGTATAAGGAGAGTATTGATTGCACCAGGAGAGTATTAGTAGTACCAGGAGATTATTGATAGTACCAGGAGAGTGTTGATAGTACCAGGAGAGTATTGATAGTATCAGGAGAGTATGGATAGTACCAGGAGAGTATGGATAGTATCAGGAGAGTGTTGATAGTACCAGGAGGGTATTGATAGTATCAGGAGAGTATGGATAGTACCAGGAGAGTGTGGATAGTACCAGGAGAGTATTGATAGTACCAGGAGAGTATTGATAGTATAAGGAGAGTATTGATTGCACCAGGAGAGTATTGGTAGTACCAGGAGATTATTGATAGTACCAGGAGAGTGTTGATAGTACCAGGAGAGTATTGATAGTATCAGGAGGGTATGGATAGTACCAGGAGAGTATGGATAGTATCAGGAGAGTGTTGATAGTACCAGGAGGGTATTGATAGTATCAGGAGAGTATGGATAGTACCAGGAGAGTGTTGATAGTACCAGGAGAGTATTGATAGTATCAGGAGAGTATGGATAGTACCAGGGGAGTGTGGATTACAAACACAGATTGTGAAGTTACGGCAGAAGATGCTGATGTCCTCATTCGTCTCCGCAGCCTCCCTACCGCCCGTCACCATGGCGATGGGCCCCGGCTCCACGGTTACAGTCGCTAAGCAACGAGGACCGCCACTGCAGCAGCAGCAGTCGTCCTTCCTCCTGAGAGCGCTCGTGTGCTCAAGCATCATGTTCAGAGTTTCACAGTAAGATTTACACCAATTCATCAGGTTCATCAGGATCATCAGTCACATCAGTCACATCAGTCTCATCAGTCTCATCAGTCTCAGTCTCATCAGTCACATCAGTCTCATCAGTCACATCAGTCACATCAGTCACATCAGTCTCATCAGTCACATCAGTCTCATCAGTCTCATCAGTCTCATCAGTCTCATCAGTCACATCAGTCTCATCAGTCTCATCAGTCTCAGTCACATCAGTCTCATCAGTCACATCAGTCTCATCAGTCACATCAGTCAAATCAGTCTCATCAGTCACATCAGTCACATCAGTCGCATCAGTCTCATCAGTCACATCAGTCTCATCAGTCACATCAGTCACATCAGTCACATAAGTCTCAGTCACATCAGTCTCATCAGTCACATCAGTCTCATCAGTCTCATCAGTCTCATCAGTCACATCAGTCACATCAGTCTCATCAGTCACATCAGTCTCATCAGTCACATCAGTCTCATCAGTCTCATCAGTCACATCAGTCTCATCAGTCACATCAGTCACATCAGTCACATCAGTCTCATCAGTCACATCAGTCTCATCAGTCACATCAGTCTCATCAGTCTCATCAGTCTCATCAGTCTCATCAGTGTCATCAGTCTCATCAGTCACATCAGTCACATCAGTCTCATCAGTCTCATCAGTCTCATCAGTCACATCAGTCTCATCAGTCTCATCGGTCTCATCAGTCTCATCAGTCACATCAGTCTCATCAGTCTCATCAGTCACATCAATCATCATGGAATAGCTGCAGTATATAACACTCACAATCACATGAGTCCTGGTCTCAGGTTTCTGTCCTGGGTCTACAGCCTAAGTCCTGGGTCTACAGCCTCAGTCCTGGGTCTACAACCTCAGTCCTGGGTCTACAGCCTCAGTCCTGGGTCTACAGCCTCAGTCCTGGATCTACAGCCTCAGTCCTGGGTCTACAGCCTCAGTCCTGGATCTACAGCCTCAGTCCTGGGTCTACAGTCTCAGTCCTGGGTCTACAGCCTCAGTCCTGGCTTCTATGTATTTGTTATTATTGCATTTCCAGTGTTCACAATGTTTGTTTCTCTGATCTGCTGTTGGTGAATCCACAACTTTGTAGTCCCCCGACACAATAACAGTACAGTCTATAAATCTGGGTATTTTGTAAATGAATAGAATGTTACTTGTGGCTCGGGACAAAAAGGTAAGATTGTCGTGAGTTGCTGCGAGCTTCGGCCTTTTATGGAACAGGTTGACGACTTTTTAACATTACATTAAACATAAAATATAAACATGGTCTTGACATTTGTTGACGGTCCCTAAGATCTTTCATTGGTGTGAGATGATATCATATTGGATTTAGACTAGTGAGCGATGACCAGGGAGAGACCAGAGATAGACCAGAGAGAGACCAGAGAGAGACCAGAGAGAGAGACCAGAGAGAGACCAGAGAGAGAGACCAGGGAGAGACCAGAGATGGACCAGAGAGAGACCAGAGAGAGACCAGAGAGAGAGACCAGAGAGAGACCAGAGAGAGACCAGAGAGAGACCAGAGAGAGACCAGAGAGAGAGACCAGAGAGAGAGACCAGAGAGAGAGACCAGAGAGAGAGACCAGAGAGAGACCAGAGAGAGAGACCAGAGAGAGACCAGAGAGAGACCAGAGAGAGAGACCAGAGAGAGACCAGAGAGAGACCAGAGAGAGAGACCAGCGAGAGAGACCAGAGAGAGACCAGAGAGAGAGACCAGAGAGAGACCAGAGAGAGAGACCAGAGAGAGACCAAAGAGAGAGACCAGAGAGAGACCAGAGAGAGACCAGAGAGAGAGACCAGAGAGAGACCAGAGAGAGAGACCAGAGAGAGAACAGAGAGAGACAAGAGAGAGACCAGAGAGAGACCAGAGAGAGACCAGAGAGAGAGACCAGAGAGAGACCAGAGAGAGAGACCAGAGAGAGACCAGAGAGAGACCAGAGAGACCAGAGAGAGAACAGAGAGAGACAAGAGAGAGACCAGAGAGAGACCAGAGAGAGACCAGAGAGAGGGAACAGAGACCAATCAAACTGTCAGAGTCGCAAGTTGCTTTTGGTCTATAATTAGAATTTCATGAAAACATCAGAAGCACATCGCTCTAAAATTAGATGAAAAACTCTCTTTGGACTAAAGTAAAAATACGTCCTGGACCCGTCACCGAGATACACACTGGTATTAAAGCTGAGGTACTCAACTTTCAGAACACAAAAACTGACCTCCATCCATCCATGAGCCAAAGCAATAAAAATGATTCTGATTCTGATCCATCCATCTTCTACCCTTTAATCCATTTCTGGGTCAGGGGGGTGGCAGTCAGAGATGCCACCCAAGTCTCATAGCACCAGCCCCTCACTGACCCTCTGCAGGTGGTGAGTCCACAGGAGGACGGCTGCTCTGTCAGTGTGAGCATGGCCTTGATCTTTCAGTGGGGGCTTCGGGCAAAGTGGGGTTAAGTGTCTTGCCCAAGGACACAACGACAGCAGTCATCAGTGGGAGTGGTGAATCTGAAACTGTTTGCTTCTATCACTAGTTCATTTTCATTTTTCATTTCAGTTTTGGGCTTGTTCACACTAAAGGGCACAAAAGTGTGACAAAAGGCCAAACATTAGATTTTAATAATCAGAAGAAATTTTATGTTTTTCATGTTTCCAAACACCTCCTCTGTCCTTTAGAAGTTGCTAGAAATAAAACTGTTTTATACGTTAGACAAGTTTCCTGAAGCGGCCCTGTTTATTTTATGTAACGGACGTGATGATTTGACGGAAAGAGCTTTGTGGAAGTTTGACAGGTATTTTCAGATGTCCACATTTGATTCAGAGATTCTATTTTTTTACACAAAGTAGATGCAAAGTTATACTTTCATATTCTCAAGCAATTAAATGTGAAAACAGACCAGATTTTTTTTTTCTCAAGTTTAATTTTTAGAGAAAAGAGGACCGTCCTCATCACGTCCGTTATACATTTTTCAGGGGTCATTTAATTAATTAATTTATTTTAATTGTTTTACAATTCCTTTTTATATGAAGTGATTTCCTTCTGTTGTGTTAACCATGTAAATCTTGTGGGATTTCATCTTCTGCTTTTTCAGACTGAGGACATTTTATTCTCTATGTAACTAGTGTCACAGTAGAATGGTCCAATCAGAGGCTGATCTGGTCGTTTAAAATGTGGCTAAAAAGGTTTTTGTCAATCTTTCCTTTTGATTTTTTCCACACTATCTCTTCAATGTGTCCGTGTTTGAAATCTTTTTTCCAATCTATGAAAGTAATTTTAGTTTTTAAGTTATAACCTTTTAAAGTCCAAATACTTCAATTGTCACTTTACTGTGAACACACTCTTATTCATTTATTTCAGGCAATTCAGAGAAAATACAAGGAAAATAAAAATGTCATCTAACAGAAAGTTTATGTACAGTGAAAATTGCACGTTTACATGATCCTTCAGTAGTAGACCAGTCCAGCCCCAGGTCCCCGATCAGTGAACTTAAGTGTCACTGCTGTTATAGGATTGTACAGGGTTATCACAGGTAACAGATGATTATTATATTGAAAAAACCATTTATACCAAAAATATCGGGAATGAACCATATCAGCAAATGAATGGACAATAGACCTGGATCATATACTAACAATGGTAAATGAGAAGTAGTTACTGTACTAGCAAGTTTATTTGGGAGAAACCACAGAGAGAGAGACCACAGAGAGAAACCAGAGAGAGAGATCACAGAGAGAAACCAGAGAGAGAGACCAGAGAGAGACCACAGAGAGAGACCAGAGAGAGACCACAGAGAGAGACCAGAGAGGGACCACAGAGAGAGACCAGAGAGAGAGAGACCACAGAGAGACCACAGAGAGAGACCAGAGAGAGACCACAGAGAGAGACCACAAAGAGGGACCACAGAGAGAGACCAGAGAGAGAGACCACAGAGAGACCACAGAGAGACCACAGAGAGAGACCACAGAGAGAAACCAGAGAGAGAGACCACAGAGAGACCACAGAGAGAGACCAGAGAGAGACCACAGAGAGAGACCACAGAGAGAGACCAGAGAGAGAGACCACAGAGAGACCACAGAGAGAGACCAGAGAGAGAGACCACAGAGAGAAACCAGAGAGAGAGACCACAGAGAGAGACCACAGAGAGAGACCAGAGAGAGAGACCACAGAGAGACCACAGAGAGAGACCACAGAGAGAGACCATAGAGAGAAACCACAGAGAGACCACAGAGAGAGACCAGAGAGAGACCACAGAGAGAGACCAGAGAGAGAGACCACAGAGAGACCACAGAGAGAGACCACAGAGAGAGAGTCCACAGAGAGAGACCAGAGAGAGACCACAGATAGAGAGACCACAGAGAGACCACAGAGAGAGACCACAGAGAGAGACCAGAGAGAGAGACCACAGAGAGAGACCAGAGAGAGAGACCACAGAGAGAAACCAGAGAGAGAGACCACAGAGAGACCACAGAGAGAGACCACAGAGAGAGACCAGAGAGAGAGACCACAGAGAGACCACAGAGAGAGAGACCACAGAGAGACCACAGAAAGAGACCACAGAGAGACCACAGAGAGAGACCACAGAGAGAGACCAGAGAGAGAGACCACAGAGAGACCACAGAGAGAGACCAGAGAGAGACCACAGAGAGAGACCACAGAGAGACCACAGAGAGAGACCACAGAGAGAGACCACAGAGAGAGACCAGAGAGAGAGACCACAGAGAGACCACAGAGAGAGACCAGAGAGAGACCACAGAGAGAGAGACCACAGAGAGACCACAGAGAGAGACCACAGAGAGAGAGACCACAGAGAGACCACAGAGCGAGACCACAGAGAGAGACCACAGAGAGAGACCAGAGAGAGACCAGAGAGACCAGAGAGAGACCACAGAGAGACCAGAGAGAGAGCAAAGAGAGAAGAAAGAGCGGAAAGAGTGACCAGCGAGATACCAGAGAGACTGGAGAGAGAAGAGCGACCAGAGAGAGAGATTAGAGAGAGACCTGAGACCAGAGAGAGAGAGATTAGAGAGAGACCAGAGAGAGAGACCAGAGAGAGATTAGAGAGAGACCTGAGACCAGAGAGAGACCAGAGAGAGAGAGATTAGAGAGAGACTTTAGACCAGAGAGAGACCAGAGAGAGATTAGAGAGAGACCTGAGACCAGAGAGAGACCAGAGAGAGAGATTACAGAGACCTGAGACTAGAGAGAGACCAGAGAGAGAGATTAGAGAGAGGCCTGACACCAGAGAGAGACCAGGCAAAGAGGCCGGGCAAAGAGACCAGATATAGACGAGAGAGAGAGAGACCAGAGACCAGGAAAGAGACCAGAGAGAGAAACCAGAGAGAGACCAGAAAGCCAACCAATCAGCTCTCAGCCCAAAGGCTCTTTCTTAAACAAGATCAAATGTGTCTGATCAGTTTTACAGCATTTGACTTTTAACAGCATTTTGGAAATGGGTAAAAGAAATGAGATTAAGTTGTAATAATGAAAAAAAAAAAAATAAAAAAGACCGATGCATAAAAGAGAGTAATTATAAAATAAGAAAATGAGAGCTAAAAGAAAGATGGATGAAGGGGAAATGTAACAGATAGAGATACAAGAATAGAAAAAAGAAGAGAAAATAAGAGTAAGAGCAAAGAAGAAAATGTGGTTTAAAAAAATAAAAATGTAAAAAAAAGGATAATATGAAAAAAAAAAGAAATATGTTTCATGGGATTTAGAAGGGGATGTTGTGATGTAGCTATAATATTGTGTTTAGGGGTGGAGAGAAGAAATGGTAAAGAAATGGTGCTCCTAATATGGTAGATATGGGATATTAGAAGGTATAGATATGTATATAGATGGGATATATATGTAGAGTATGAAAGGGATAGAAAGTTAGATAAAAATGGTAATATAGATGGTATATAAATGGAATAGATGGTATATTTATAGGGAGAGATAGGGTAAAGAGATAAGAGTGGGATATAATGGTAATAATTAAATGGGTATAGAAAGTGGAGAGTAGATGGATAGAAGATGGGGAGATTAAAGTGGTTAAGAGATGAGAGTATATATATGGATAGATAGGTATATTAAATGTAGAATAAATGGTATATAGATAATATTATAATATAAATGGTATAGATAGGGAGATATTATGTATATATAGGTAGATATAATAGATATTAGAGATGGGAGATGAAGGTTATATAAATGGTATATAAAGTATCTAAATGTATAAAAGGTGTTCCTATCACAGGGTCTAGTATATGGTATCTAGAGGGTATATATAGGGTATCATCATAATGGTTATAGCAAGTGTCGATAAATACTATATATATGGGTATATATATGGTAGAGTAGGGTTATATCAATGGTATATATATATTACTATACAATGGGAGATATAGGGTGAGATATGGGATATAAATGGGATATAAAGGGGAGATAAGATGGACAGAGAAATGTATTATAATGGTATCTAAAGAGGATATAAGGGGAGGATAGGTCGAGAAATGGTATAGATTGGTAATAAATGGAATATATATGTTATAATAAATGGGAATATAAATGGATAATAATTGGTATATGAATGGTATATATTGGGTAAGATAGTGGGTAAAAGTAGAGGAAAAGGTTTAATAGGGGGGAGAGAGTGAGAAAAAAAAGAAGAAAGGGGGGAATGAAAGGGAGTTGAAAGGGAAATGGAAGTGAGTGAAAGTTAGAAAGGGAGGGGATTTGATTTGTGGATGATAATGGTGGATGTGGTAGTATGGAAGAAAATGATGTAAAAGTGGGTTGGGGTGGTGAGGTGGGGGGGGGGGGGGGGGGGGGGGGGAGGTGTGGGGGGGGGGGGGGGGGGTGGGGTGGGTGGGGTGTGGGTGGGGGGGGTGGGTGGGGGGGGGGGGGGGGGTGGAAAGGGGGGGGGGAAAAGAAAAAAAAAAAATAAGGGGGGGTTTAATGTTAATGAGTTGAAAAGATAGAAGGGGGTAGGGGGGGGAAGTGGGGGGGAAAGTTAATAAGGATAAAAAGGGATTATATATATATTTATTTTTTATTGGAGTGTAGATTTATTTATAGATAAAATGAAGAGAATAAAAAAAAAAATGTAAACATATAAAAAATACGAATAGGAATAAAAAAACATAAAAAGAAAAAGAAAAACATCACAAAGAAGAAAATTTATCATTATTAACACCCAAAAAGGTCCCTGAGAGTCCCCCTCCTCCACGTCACCATCCACGAAGCACAATACTCCCCCCACCCATCCCGACACGCCCCCCCAAATTACCAACCCACCGCCATCCTCAACTATCCGCCAGCCCGCCCCCCCATTACCAACCTCACCCCCGGATCCCACCCGTCCCCCACGCATGTATGTACTCCCGCTACACTAAGAAGCTACATCCATATCACGATGCCACAAAGCAGCGCCCCTACTCCGGGCTTCTCACGACACCATTCCCGCTCCCCGCCACGAAGTGCGTGCACTCCTCCCCACGTAGAGCCCCCCTACCGCCACCACACAGCTCCAACACCAGTTCCTTCCCACTACCTCCGAACCACCATTTAAGACCCCCCGACACCATCATACAGAATGCATGACTTTTCCCGACCAATGTATGGCAGTCTTTTGTTGGATCCATGGCAAATCATATCCCGTCCTCACTGCCTTACCACTGTACACACCTGTGGCACACGGACCCCCTAGCGGAAACCATTCCTGAAAACTTGTTTACATGTATACGGACCCCTGTAGGTGGTGTTTGCGGAATTATCAAGGAGGGCCCACTGTTGCCATTTCAGTCCCGCAGTCTGGCGGCCAATCATTAGTCATCCCAACAGAGCAGATCAGGTGTCAGGCAAGCACAAGGTTATCATGTGTGTGTGTACTTCAGGCTGCAAGAACTCTGGAGATCAGGCCCGCTAGCGCACGCTACAACCCCCTGGTCAGTAGCATCCTCCACGTCATTACTTCCACTTGTACTAAATAAAGACTCACCCTTAATTGTTGTTGTTGCAGCTATAGTCAAGCTTCCTCATTGCAAGACAGTCGCCTCCTGATTCTGCCGATTTACAACTGTCAAGCCGAAATCAATACCCCCCAGTCAGGTCCAAAACACCCCACAGACCACACACCACCCCCTTATTCACTCTTCAAGGCTCTTCTGCCTCTACTGTTCAATGTCCTGCCACAAAATGTCCCGTCATTTGACTAGAAAACATGGAAATGAAAGTGACGTAGCCAGAGCATTGGCTCTACCTGTGAAATCTAAAGCACGTAAACTTCAGTTTGATTTGATCAGGAATAGTGGAAACCGTGAGCACAATTTTGAGGTTTTAAAGGCCGGCATTGGAACTTTAGTCCCAGCTAAACAGCCAAATTCCCCAGTTAAATCCAGTGAGTTTTTGCACTGTATAGACTGTGGGGCATTGCTTAAGCGAAAGTCGCTGTGGAGGCTATGTGGCCAGGTGCCGGCTTTCACAGAAAGATGCCCAGGCTAAACCAGGTAGAAGTAGGGTCCAGTCCCTCTGCTCCCTAGCCCAGCCTGTACCGGAGGGCATCAGCAAAAAGCTGTGGTCTTTAATTTCGGCAATGCATCAGGATGAGGTCACGGGTGTTGTCAAAGCAGAAAAGGGGATTCTGAGACTCGGAGAGCACCTGTACTTAAAACACGGGCATGATAAGACTAAGCATGATTACATTAGGCAGAAAATGAGAGAAGTCGGTAGGTTAATTAACGAAGCAAAAACCGCAGGGAAACTGAAAACAATGAAGGATTTCTTTATTCCTTCCAACTTTAACCATGTGATTGATGCAGTCAGGTCTGTGGCTGGATATGATGAGGAAACAAATCAATACAAGACTCCATCCTTGGCCCTCAAACTCGGCCATAGCCTCAGAAAGCTAGCAGATATTCTTGAATGTGACTCAAAAATGGAGCATTGTGTTGATGAACTATTTCTTAAAAACCTCCAACGAAGCCGGCTGCTTTTTGAGAAGAGGTGGGACGTCTGTGTTTCTTCTGCTGCCCTACAGACCCTCCGGCAAGCCAAGTGGAACACTCCGGACCTGCTCCCTCTGACTGAGGACGTTAGAGCCATGCATGCACATATTGAGGTATGTCGACCTGAATATGTGCAAACCCTAATAAGTGAGCCAACGTCTAAGCATTGGTCTAAACTGGCAGTTTTGACTCTTTGTGAGGTCATCATTTTCAATCGAAGAAGGGAAGGTGAGGTTTCAAAGATGCCACTGACAGCCTTTACCTTAAGAAGTAAGACTGGGATCCATTCTGACATTGCTCTGGGACTGTCCCAACTTGAGAAAAAGCTGTGTCAGCATTTTCAACGCATTGAAATTAAAGGGAAAAGAAGTCGGAAAGTGCCGGTTCTTTTGACTCCTGAAATGATTGCTTCGATGGAGGTGCTGGTGGAGAACAGAAGGGCCTGTTCCATCTCTGACCATAACCCATTTTCCCGCCCGGGCGCAGACACCCACATCAGGGGATCAGACTCCCTACGCCAGGTAGCCAAAGAATGTGGTGCGGTGCATCCAGAGATGCTATCCTCAACCAAACTTAGAAAGCACATAGCTACTATGTCTACAGTTCTCAATATGAAAGAGAATGAGATGGACATACTTGCCAACTTCCTCGGCCATGACATTCGCATCCACAGGCAATATTACAGACTACCAGAGGGGACACTGGAGCTGGCCAAAATCAGCAAAGTGTTGATGGCCATGGAGCAGGGAAGAGTGACGGAATTCGAAGGAAAGAGCCTCGACCAGATACAAATTGAGCCTGAAGGTAATTCTTGATATTATTAAAATATGTATGATTTTTTTCCCCTAAAGGCCACTTGTATTTTTATTTTCTGTGCGACAGGGAGAGCAGTAGAGATCCTCTCACAAACGGACGGGCTAAAAGAAACTTCAAGCGGAGAACCTTCAACCATTCATCCAGATGCACCCCATGGTAGTGGCAGTGCCCCTTCTGGTAAGTGTACCAGGTGGGGGATTACAGCCAGGCTGCTTGGTCCTAACCCTGGGAGTGTATATTGCTAATATATTTTTATTTCTCTCCCTAGAACGTGTAAGAAAGCCATGGTCTGCATCTGAGGTGAAGGCTGTGGAGAAGACCATGACACCTTTCATACAGACTGGAAAGGTCCCTGGGAAGTCTCACTGCCTGGCCTGGCCTGGCCTGGCCTGCATTAATGCCTCACCAGATGACCTTAGACATCGGACATGGAGTGGCATTAAATTCTATGTCAAAAATAGAATCACTGCAATTCGAAAACAAAATCTAAAATAAAATTCCTTTAAAATAGTTGTTTGGTTTCTATTGACTGTTTTGTATTACTTAAAGTAGTCCCAGTAAAAAAAGATTATGTCTATGGGTCCCATTCTGAACGGCCCTGTCAAAGGGACCCACCAGGTAACAAAAACGTGTATTCTCGAGGTCGGACATCCGGGAACTTGGACTCCCATAATGCACTGCGCGCGCATAGCAACGCGGCGAAGGGTAAAACAAACCAGCGCCCGCCATTAAGCAACACGAAGCGAAAGACAAACGAGCGTTACAAAACATGCCGAAAAACTGTTGTATTGTTGGTTGTACCAACAACAGCGTAAAAAGGAGTGACCTATCCTTTTACATGATCCCTAGCGAGGCAACTGAGCCAGAAAGGAGAGAGAAATGGCTCCAGCTGGCTTGGAGCTACTCAGTGGGAATCTTTAGATTTTGTCACTTTGCTCCTTGAACAGGAAAGAAGAACAACAACCCCGCATACCCAGATTACACTCCGTCCATTTTCCCGCAAGCAGTGCTGAAGGAATTGACTAAGAGTACCACACTTGATCGCTTCAAGAGAGCACAGAAAAGAAAAGGTAAGTTTGCTACCCACAGTACCCTATCGTTAACAGAAAAAAAACCATCAAACTGTAGTGTGATCAACATGCATCTAGTTTGCTCCTAGATCAATGACCAAAAATTATCTGAATTTGTTTGACACAACACTTGAAATTTAAAACTAACAAATTGCAGTCGATTTTGTTTATGCAGACATATATATAGTAGCAAATTGTGTTTATTGCTCTTATTTTACACTGCAGTAAAACCGTACCTGCAGATAATGAGCTGCATTTCCAATGCACAGTTAAGAATTAAAAGATTCCATATTGCAATGAGGTTGTGTACAACAATTGATACAAGCACCTTGTGAAATAGAATGTTGTCCCCCATATGAAATACATAAATAAAAAATACATGTTGATTTCTAATGACAAATTTGAAAAAGTAGTACTTGGGAGGTTAACTGCTACAAAAATGGTAATCTGTGTAAAAATACAGATTTTGCTAACAAATGTATTTTCCTTGAAAACAAAATTACCTCCTGTATGAAAAAGTCATTGCATCTACAAAGTAACTAGTCATGCAGATTTTTGTACATAATGCCTAGCCTGGAAATTCTTGGTAAGATGGTATTTATAGTACAAAACTAGTCTACTGGTCGCTGCTTTCTAGTCATAGTCGACTATTATGACTTATCGTCCCAATCCAACTCAATACTAAATATACTGCCGTTTAGTAACACCAGGAAGCCGAGTGAGTGAGTGGTTGGTGGTGGTCGGAGGGGCCGATGGCGCAGACTGGTCGCCTCGCTTCAGTCAGTCTACCCCAGGGCAGCTGTGGCTATAATAGTTGCTTACCACCACCAAGTATGGAGTGAATGAATAGTGCAATGTTAAGCGTCTTTGAGTGTCCAGAAAAGCACTACATAAAACTGATGCATTATTATTATTATTATAAATATGAGGCCATGACTTAAAATTTCTGTGATCATTTGCAAAATATATACCTTTTATCTATTTTTTTCAGCACCATCCACTACTCTAGTATCACGAAAGGAAAGGAAGGTGAAGAAGCAACTGGAATTTGAGGAGACAAGTGTCCCAGAAGAGTTGCAACAAGAAGTGTCAACACCCTGCATGGAAATGCAAGACCTGCAGCAGACGGAATTAGGCATTGACAAAATCAGCAATGATTCGGTCTCCACCATCATAATACTAAATACACCTGAAACAAAAGAAAATGAAGAAAGGGAAATAATTTTATTTTTATACATTAACATATCACATCTAGGAGAGTGACAATTGACCAGAGCAAAAACACTGACAAATTGCAAGTAAATGATACAAATGTTTTCATGTCAATCTTCACGTCTTTTAGTATTTCTACTTATACAATGTCTAATAAACTATTTCTCATTAGAAATGTTAAAGTCTTGCTGTTGTCGTTAGACACTACATATATAATATAATAAAATGTAATCTGATGACTGGTTATTGCAAAAAATAACCGGTCATAAAAAGTGTGAATAGAGGGTATGCCATTTTACTTTAAAATTTAAATAGAAATGTAATCTCAAATGAATGGACACATTGAGGGGCAAATCAAAGAATAACAAAATAATACCAATGCCATGCCACTGTTTTCTGTTGCTATGTTATGACATTGCTATGCATAATGGTCGGCAGCTCTACACCGATAAGCAACAATGAAATGCACTAGTTGTGTGGGGAATAAGTGGAATTTCTGCAGTTAGCCTTTTTTGGCTTTTGAAAAAAACTGTGTCCCTCACTTACACTGTACAAGCTGTGCCACTGACAGACTGAGCTCATTACAGCCACATTGTAACAGAATGCTTTTGAATGTCATAACATAGTTAATGTTATCGATGCTTGATGGGTATTTAAATATTACTACAAGTGTAGGACACATGGTATGTACACATGGTGTTCATACCAGGGGACTTGATGAGGTAATTGTATATGTCTGGATACTCGAGCCTGGGCCATGCCTTTGGGTTGTTTTCCCAGGACTCTGCTGGATGCCGATAGGGACAAGATTGTAAACCTACAAGCGACAGCTTTCTGTGGTACCTTAGCCTGGCCTTTGCCATCCGTAAACTCCGGTCAAATCTTTTTTTTCCCGGGATGTACCCTCTGTACGAAACAAGTATGAGGGTATGGTAAAACCAGGCTAGTGGTACCTGGTCAATGCAGGCGCTAGGAGACTGTCAATATACTGATATGACATGCTGCAATAGAAGAAGAAGATCTGTATTCATATAGTGCCTTTCACAGACATGTAGCTAGTCACAAAGCGCTTTACATGAGTGTTTAATCTCACATGTATGGAGTGAATGTAAACTAAAACTGGCGATTATAAGTGTAAAACTACAACTGAAAAAGGTGGTCCTGTTGTGGCTTAAGGTGCAAGAACAAGAGGAATGACATTTGCGTTAATAAAATAAGGTTTATCTGATATTTCCAACAACAGTTAGACATTTCTTTATTGTTACTATGACAACAGCTACAATGGAAATAGATAGGAATTTAGATTCCTGCCTCCAGCTAAGCAAGCCCTGAATGTTTACACCACCAACATACATTCGCATACACAGATATCATTCATCAATAATTCAAAGTTGTCCGTTAGTATCCATAACTGACATAATCCACGGCAAAACATATGTAAATAGATACCTTTTGGTTGCTACGCAGGTCACATGATTCGTGACGTAACGCCGACCTCGAGAATGTGTGTGTGTGTGTGTGTGTGTGTGTGTGTCTGTGTCTATGTATGTGTGTGTGTGCCTTACATTGCAAAGCAGAGTAGTTATCCATCTGCAGTCGCGGCGCTGGGCTCAGATTGTGTGAGTCTCAGACTGGGGTTCGCGGCCGGACACGACTCTCCGCGACGGCCGCATCTTTCCCCCGCGACGCGTCAAATCCACGAGCGCATCATTCACGCGGCAAAACGACGCCCCGCCGCGCGTCCATTCAGTGACGCGGCGGAGGATACGAACAAGGCGCGGTGCGTGTGAGAGCAGAAAGATGAAAGAGAACACTGGCAATGCGTAAAAAGGCGTCTGTGCGCGCGCTGCTATTTCTACTGTGGAAGTGAGGGGAAGAGAGGAGGGAGGGAGAGAGGAGGGGTGAGAGAGAGGAGGGAGGGAGGGAGAGAGACGAGTGAAGGAGAGAGGAGGGGGGAGAGAGAGGAGGGAGGGAGAGAGGAGGGGGGAGAGAGAGGAGGGAGGGAGGGAGAGAGACGAGGGAGGGAGAGAGAGGAGGGAGGGAGAAAGAGGAGGGAGAGGGAGAGAGAGGAGGGAGGGAGGGAGGAGGGAGGGAGAGAGGAGGGAGGGAGAGAGAGGAGGGAGGGAGAGAGAGGAGGGGGGAGAGAGAGAGGAGGGAGGGAGAGAGAGAGGAGGGAGGGAGAGAGAGAGGAGGGGGGAGGGAGAGAGAGAGGAGGGAGTGAGAGAGGAGGGAGTGAGAGAGGAGGGGGGAGAGAGAGGGGAGGGAGGGAGGGAGGGAGAGAGGAGGGGGGGAGAGAGAGGAGTGAGGAGGGGGAGAGAGAGGAGGGAGAGAGGAGGGGGAGGGGGGGAGGGAGGGAGAGAGAGGAGGGAGGGAGGGAGGAGGGAGGGAGAGAGAGGAGGGAGGGAGAGAGAGGAGGGGGGAGAGAGAGGAGGGAGGGAGAGAGAGAGGAGGGAGTGAGAGAGGAGGGAGTGAGAGAGGAGGGGGGAGAGAGGGGAGGGAGGGAGGGAGAGAGGAGGGGGGAGAGAGCAGTGGCGGCCGGCCAATAGAGGGCGCTAGGGCGCCGCCCCACCACTCACAACTTGCCATGTTACCTTGAATAAAACGTTAAAAAAAAAAAATAACATTAAAATATTTCGAAATGTATGTGTGTTTTATTTCAGATGTGGAAGAAATACTTTATAGTTTATGCTGAGTTGGATTGATTAAGCTCATCAGCGTTGTCTGTGTCGGACTGAGGACGTATTTCCGCCTCAGGGCGCAAAAGATTGCGCCCTGAGCCGTCTATGGACTCTCGTTAAAAGTTGGACATGCGCAGTAGCTCCTCTTCAATGCAAGAGATAAGACGATTTGGGGGCGCAGGAGAAGTGCGCCCTGAGGGGGCGGGATCGCCCGCGACCTGTACTGTCACTGTCTGTGACGTCCGTTTACAGTGATTGACAGGTCAAGCTGTGGGAGTTTGAGACGAACGTAAAGAGACGCAAAATGGAGAACGAGAAAAAGAATAATTCAGTTAGATCACTCAAAACAATACCGTTTGAGAGAAGATCATACCAGGAGAAGGTTGAGGTTAAAGAGCTTGGACCTGATCAGCCAAATATTACCATTAGTCAGCAGTCCAGCGACAGGGGAGACGGTACTCGTACTTTTTCCAGGACCTGGTTCAGCGCCAAATCTTGGCTAGCAGCATGTAGCGAGGCTAATGCTTTATTTTGCTTTCCATGCCTCTTGTTTCAAACATCAGGATCTGACCCAGCATGGATCAAGACAGGTATGACTGATCTGAAGCACTTTTTAGAAAAGGCAAAGAAGCATGAGTAGACTGGTATCCACATGCAAAATGCCCTCAAATTAGCTATGTTTGGGAAGATAAATATTTCATCCCAGCTGGATGAAAGCTACAGGGTAGGGATCAGAAAGCATCCCTACCCTGCTGGTATATATCTAGTCATCATATTCATAGCCCCCCCAGTAGAAAATTCCACCAGCCGCCACTGGGAGAGAGAGGAGTGAGGAGGGGGAGAGAGAGGAGGGAGAGAGGAGGGGGAGGGGGAGGGGGAGGGGGAGGGAGGGAGACAGACTTGAACTTTTAAGTTTTTGACGGCCAAACAAAGAGATAATTTCTTTCCAGAGAGATCATGAAAGATTAGAATTACAGAAAACTATGAAGGCAAAGAGAGAGAGACTACAGAGAGACCGGAGAGAGACCAGAGAGAGAGACTACAGAGAGACCGGAGAGAGACCAGAGAGAGAGACTACAGAGAGACCGGAGAGAGACCAGAGAGAGAGACTACAGAGAGACCGGAGAGAGACCAGAGAGAGAGACTACAGAGAGACCGGAGAGAGACCAGAGAGAGAGACTACAGAGAGAGAGAGACCGGAGAGAGACCAGAGAGAGACCAGAGAGAGAGACTACAGAGAGACCGGAGAGAGATCAGAGAGAGACCAGAGAGAGAGACTACAGAGAGACTACAGAGAGACCAGAGAGAGACCAGAGAGAGAGACCAGAGAGAGATCAGAGAGAGATCAGAGAGAGACCAGAGAGAGACCAGAGTGAGAGAGACTAGAGATAAAGGCCATTGAGTGACTAGAGAGAGAGACCAGAGAAAGAGAGACCAGAGAGAGCGCAAACGCAGAGAGAGACCTGAGCGCGAGAGAGAGACCAGGGAACAAGAATATCAGTTCTCAGCCCAAAGAGTCAACTAGTGACTCAAAGGGGCTCTTTCTTAAAAAGAAACATGTTTTCACATGTTTTCAATAATATGATGACAGCAGGTTGTGGTCTTACTTTTAAGAAAGTAGGACCAGAGACCAGAGACCAGTGACCAGTGACCAGAGACCAGCGACCAGAGACCAGAGACCAGCGACCAGAGACCAGCGACCAGAGACCAGAGACCAGCGACCAGAGACCAGCGACCAGAGACCAGAGACCAGCGACCAGAGACCAGAAACCAGCGACCAGAGACCAGAGAGACCAGAGACCAGCGACCAGGCAAAATGCACCCTCTCTTTCTAAAAGGAAGAAGACCAGAAACTAGGACCAGAGAGACCAGAGAACAGTACTTGAAACAAGGACCAGAGACCTGGACTAGAGAGTCCAGTGACCAGAGAGAGACCCATTGAGAGTCCTGGTCCAGTGTGTGCTACACAAATACATGTGACTCTTCCTTCCCATGACGACAGTCTTTGTACAAGTCCCGTGTACATAAGCGTGTCGTAACACACGGCTCTTTATGAATGGGGGTTGCCATGGTAACTGGGGTGCAGTAAAGCGAGGCGAGGATTAAGACACAAAGCAGCTGTATCCAAGGACAGAGGATTAAAGCTGGACAACGTAACTTTAAAGCTGTGATCCATAAAACACAGCTACCATAAATTCACTAATTACAATTCTGTCCTAAATGTTTATTTTTCAGTGTGAAATAAAACACATCCCTCTGTTTTCTTTCATCCAATCACAAACTTGGGAACTCTGGGACCATTGACCAATCAGATGCCTTCATAGCAACATGCCGTAGCAACCGTCTTAGAAACACGTCTGCCCCTGTTGTGCCGCGATTAGGGGTGTGACGCGATACTTTCTCCCGCAATTCGATTATCGATATGCATTTTCTAAGTATCGATATCGATTTTGAAAAAAAAAAAAAAACTTTTACTCTCCATTCTATTTATCATGAAATAAAGAGTATTTTTTCTTTTATTAATGCCATAAATTGGCATATTGTATATTTCTGACCAATATATCAATAATCGTCATATCGTGATAAAATTGTTATCGTAATATCGTTATCGTGATATTATCGTTATCGTGAGCTTTGTATCGTGTATCGTATCGTATCGTGAGGTACGCTTAGGTTCCCACCCCTAGCCGCGATGCTAACACCGTTGAAACAAACGCCCATATAAGGACATTAGCTCCGACTTATGTTCAAATCGGCTCATACCACATTAAGGCAAACACTGGAGAAAAATCCATCCTGTTCAGTATCACAATATTTTTTACATGAAGCTGAAGCGCAGATTCAGACTGAAAGACCGGCCAGCCTCGAGCCTCAGCCAATCACACAGCCCGGCCAGCCTCGAGCCTCAGCCAATCACACAGCTCTGCCAGCCCCTTGACAACCCACTGACGGCAAAGCGGGCAGTTAAAAGCAGACACTCCCTGATAAACGGCGCTTCCAGGAGCTCTTAACACCCACCACTTTCCTGGTGGGTGTCCTGCTCTGGCTCCTGCTCTGGCTGCTGCCCTGGCTCCTGCTCTGGCTCCTGCTCTGGCTCCTGCTCTGGCTGCTGCCCTGGCTCCTGCTCTGGCTCCTGCTCTGGCTCCTGCCCTGGCTCCTGCTCTGGCTGCTGCTCTGGCTGCTGCTCTGGCTCCTGCTCTGGCTCCTGCTCTGGCTCCTGCTCTGGCTCCTGCTCTGGCTCCTGCCCTGGCTCCTGCTCTGGCTGCTGCCCTGGCTCCTGCTCTGGCTCCTGCTCTGGCTCCTGCTCTGGCTGCTGCCCTGGCTCCTGCTCTGGCTCCTGCTCTGGCTCCTGCCCTGGCTCCTGCTCTGGCTGCTGCTCTGGCTGCTGCTCTGGCTCCTGCTCTGGCTCCTGCTCTGGCTCCTGCTCTGGCTCCTGCTCTGGCTCCTGCTCTGGCTCCTGCTCTGGCTGCTGCCCTGGCTCCTGCTCTGGCTCCTGCTCTGGCTCCTGCTCTGGTTCCTGCTCTGGCTGCTGCCCTGGCTCCTGCTCTGGCTCCTGCTCTGGCTCCTGCCCTGGCTCCTGCTCTGGCTGCTGCCCTGGCTCCTGCTCTGGCTCCTGCTCTGGCTCCTGCTCTGGCTCCTGCCCTGGCTCCTGCTCTGGCTGCTGCTCTGGCTGCTGCTCTGGCTGCTGCTCTGGCTCCTGCTCTGGCTCCTGCTCTGGCTCCTGCTCTGGCTCCTGCTCTGGCTGCTGCCCCATGGCTCCTGCTCTGGCTGCTGCTCTGGCTCCTGCTCTGGCTCCTGCTCTGGCTCCTGCTCTGGCTCCTGCTCTGGCTGCTGCCCTGGCTCCTGCTCTGGCTCCTGCTCTGGCTCCTGCCCTGGTTCCTGCTCTGGCTGCTGCTCTGGCTCCTGCTCTGGCTCCTGCTCTGCCTCCTGCTCTGGCTGCTGCCCTGGCTCCTGCTCTGGCTCCTGCTCTGGCTCCTGCTCTGGTTCCTGCTCTGGCTCCTGCTCCGCCTGCGCCTCATTCATACCATGCTTCTAGCCACCTCCAGTGCTTGACCCCGGGGGATCTGAGATCATCAACAGCAGCAGTGACCTCCCCTCTGCAAGTGTCACTGTAGGAAAGCCAAGCCGAGAAGTGCGCCCCTAGTGTTAGGTTTCGTTTTTACATGTTAGTGTCACTTTTGTTTCTGAGCACGTATGCTATTAATAGAGCAACCACAGCAGCTAGATGCGCTGCACAGACTTTTTTCGTGCATTAAGGACTCATTAACGTTGTTCCCTGTGTGTCAGTGTGCGTAAATGATCAAAAAGTAAGTGCAATGTGTGATTAGTTGACCAATGTGCCTGTTATAACCATATGTCCGTGTTTAGACTTAACACGTGTTTTCTTCAGTCTCACTTAGCATGAGTAATGTGACGTACATTTGTGAAGTAGAGTTCTAATGTTAATTGACCTGCTAATTCATAGTTTAAAGTTAATTCTATTTTTAGTGTATTGTTATTTTACGTGAATTGTGTAGTTGACTGCCTGCCGCTGCGTCTCGCACCAAAGTAAAGGGTATGTCTGTAACTTTTGGGAGCACTATTTTGCTCTTACAGCATTGCAGTGTCAATTTAGAGCTGTTATGTGTATGTTATGTATTATAATATATGCCTTGTAGTTATGTACAGTGTACAGTTTGTACATTTATTCATTATATTTTTTGTCTGTTCTTTGTTGCAGACCACACACACACACACACACACGTTACATATTTGTAACACACCGTGAATGTGAATAAACCAACGACTGAGAAATATCCCCCCTCTGGACCCTGATTCTCTGACCGGAATCTTTCCATACTGTTGCCGCCTCAACCAGTGTATATCCCTTAGTGGGCCAGTTAAAATATTGAGCCTCCACTTCATTTGGTCCTTCGAGCCGGATTGAGTGCACCCCCCACCGCACAGTATGGAAGCTGCAGATGCCCCAGAGCTCCAGGAAAGACCACAGAGAGAACGCCGTCTCCCTACGTATCTACTTGATTATGATGTTGGATACCCTCCACGACCCAACCATCCTAAAGCCGCTTCAACCAGTTCCTGCTCAAGCTCCAGCAGTAAACACAGAAGCTAATCTAGGAGATCCGGTAGTGGCTCTTTTCGCAGCATAGGCAGATCAAGTAGAGGTCATTTCCCGAACATAGAGTTCAACTCAACGCAGTCTGCTCTTCTGGAGGAAGGGTTGAGTCAAATCGAGCTTGATGACCTTAGACAGGAACTAGCTGAGGACACTCAAGCAGATATGGAGTATCAGCGCTTACAGCTCCAGGCTAAGGAGGCGCAGCGCGCACAAGAAGAAGCACTACTTGCTAAGGAGACTCTTCATAAACAACTGGACAGGAATCGTCGCCTGCAGGAAGCCCAGAGAAGGGTGAGAATGGCTAAACTGGTCTCCTCAGTCCTAAACACAGATGCGCAGGCTGTTTCACCAGAGCCCTCATTAACTCCTGAAGGCTACCTCCAGCTACCAGTATCCACACCGTCTGCTAGTAGCACAAGACCATCAGTTGTTATGGATACTATGTCCATTGCACATGCAGCTCAGCCACCTTCTGTGCCAAGACAACCCACACCTGTGCCAGACAACGCTCTGAGCCTTCTTCAAGCCACGCAGCCAACGCAGTATGTACCTCCTATCCACACACAGAGTACGAATACACTCATGATGCAGTCGCACTCGGACAATCATGCAGCTCAGCTTCCTCCTGCAGTTATGACTACACAATCTAATGTCGCACCCATAATGACCTCCGCACTGTCTCCACCAATCTATGGCCAGCCTTTACCGCCTGCACTACAGACACTGCCAGCCCAAGGTCAACCAGCAGTCTCCCAGCCATTCTATCCATCATTTCAGCCCCGTGATCTTCCACCATTTGGATCAGATATGCTGATTGCTTCCACTTACGGTATTCCCAGGCCTACTCTGCCTTATTTTGAGAGTGGACGTGAAAGCGACTTTGCCCTGCTGAAGATGGCACTCGACAACCTCCTGAGTACCCACACTCACCTCAGTGAACAGTATAAGTATCAGGTACTACTCGGCCAGCTGAAGCACGCTAGCGCACTCCAACTTGCTAAAGCTCACATGTACCACCCACAGCCCTACACCACGGCCTTGAAAGCTCTTCAAGACAAGTACGGCCAACCACGGCAGCTCGTTCAATCTGAACTGGGTACAATATTGAGCATGCCAGCTTTCAGACCAGGAGACTTTGCTGCATTCGACTCCTTCGCCCTGGCGGTGCAGTCATTGGTTGGAATGCTAAGGTCACTTGAGGGTCATAACAGTTACGAGCTGATGTGTGGCTCTCACGTCGATCGCCTGCTGAGCAAGATGCCGCCACACCTCCGTGACAGCTTTGTGGAATATTGCCTGACCCGTGGTATCCTTCAGACAGGTACTAACAGAACATACACTCTTCCTGATCTAGCAGCTTGGTTGCAGGTTAAGTCTCAAGCCAAACAGATCTCAAGTCGCGCAGCATCACAGTTCACTGCTGAAACCCACAAGCCGATGAATACTTACAGGAGTACGCATCCAAAGGACAGGGTTACTCCAGTTCTGCTAACACTTGATAGTAAGCCATCTGCCTCAACTCCATCTAAAGCCCAACCTAACTCCAAGCCCAAGCCATATTGTCCATGGTGTGATAACACAGAGCATTATCTTAACTTCTGCAATGACTTTAAGAAACTTCACGTAAACGAGATCATAAAGTGGATCAAAGATGGAATAAGATGTTGGAGATGCGGTCGAAATCATAGTGCAGACACCTGTACTCTGAAACGCCCCTGCGAAGTCTGTAAAGAGACACACCTCACCATTCTCCATGAATCAGTTCAAGCCACTTCTGGGGCTTTCCTCATGGTCAATATCCCCTCCACTCAAATCTACTTTGACCGTCCTAACCGATCACAGCGCGTCATGCTGAAAGTAGTGAGTGTCCTTGTCCACAATGGAAATTGATCAATGCAAGCGTATGCCATACTGGATGATGGATCAGAAAGAACTGTTATTCTCCCCCCAGTTGTGCAACATCTGAACTTCAAGGGTGATTCCGAGACCCTGGCTCTCCGGACAGTGCATCGAAAAGTTGAACACATTGCTGGCTCATCTATCTCCTTTGAGATTTCTCCCATTGAGAACCCCTCTGAGAGGTACCACATTCGCAATGCCTTCTCAGCCCAAGAGCTCAGCCTAGCTGATGTGTCTTACCCCGTACATGCTCTCCAGCAGCGTTATCAGCACCTTAAGGGTCTTCCACTACGCCCGTTGAGTAATGTACAGCCACTCATTCTGATAGGGTCTGACGCACCTCACCTGCTCACCCCTATTCAGCCCATATGCAAAGGACCCCAATATGGACCAATCGCCGTCTGCACGCTCCTTGGATGGACACTGCAGGGCCCCATGAGTCCTTTCCAAAGTTCTCACAAGGAACAACAGTGTCTACATCTTGCCCTAACTGAAGATCGACAGCAGGAGTTAGTCAACAATGAGGAGCGCTCGTTGAATCTAGACGTTCTCCCCCCGAGCGAGAAAGCGCACACCAGTTCCAAACAGGATCAACAAGCATACAATCTTCCACAATGCGCAACCATCAGAGTTGATGTGCAAGGAGTGCAACACAACACCACTCCGTTGCTTCGCTGTGGTCCAGATGTTCAGCTTCAGGAATTTGCATTCATTGAAGCGATTATTACCGACTCTCCAGCCCCCGATGCTTCCCAGTTTCTGTCACGGGATGCCCTTGTCCAAGCCACTATGGGGGTTGTCAACGGGGCGGCTAACCCAAGCAGCGACAAGTCTAATGATGTTTTCCATGCAGAGAAGATAATACTTGCTCAGTCTCAGTTGGACTCGTTTCCTGAAGAGCTACTTCATCCAGGCCCTGAGAGAGTCTTGATTAAGAGGAGACGTCAGTATTTGGTGCTCACAGGCAGGGAAGCTCTCAGAAAGCTCCAGCACTCCTGCCATTAGCGTCAACACTGGCGTGCAAAGCCCACCATCTCGAAGACATCCAACTTTCCACACAACCGTTTACGCCAGCACAAGCATCCATTCTATTCCACTGGAGTGGACTGTTTTGGTCCGTTCTCTGTCAAGATCGGTCGGAGTAAAAGGAGGAGATGGAGACATTGTCAGATCTTGGCGGACAGCTTTTGGACAGCTTTCATCCGGAACTACCTTCCGAGTCTCCAAGAACGTCAGAAGTGGAGAACTGACACAAAGGAACTAGACACAGGCCAAGTTGTCCTCATCGTCGACCCACAGCTGCCGCGGGCTCTCTGGCCAGTGGGCTCCGTGACAGAGACCTTCAGAGGATCCGATGGACGCGTCCGGACTGCATCGGTGAAGGTCAACGAGAAGACTTACACTCGACCCGTTGCCCGGCTTATCTCCTTGCCGAAGATTGAAGAAGATGACCAGGACCCCACTGCTTGTCTTTCTAAATAGTTACAAATGTCATTGCTGACATTTGGGGGCGGCTGTGTAGGAAAGCCAAGCCGAGAAGTGCGCCCCTAGTGTTAGGTTTCGTTTTTACATGTTAGTGTCACTTTTGTTTCTGAGCACGTATGCTATTAATAGAGCAACCACAGCAGCTAGATGCGCTGCACAGACTTTTTTCGTGCATTAAGGACTCATTAACGTTGTTCCCTGTGTGTCAGTGTGCGTAAATGATCAAAAAGTAAGTGCAATGTGTGATTAGTTGACCAATGTGCCTGTTATAACCATATGTCCGTGTTTAGACTTAACACGTGTTTTCTTCAGTCTCACTTAGCATGAGTAATGTGACGTACATTTGTGAAGTAGAGTTCTAATGTTAATTGACCTGCTAATTCATAGTTTAAAGTTAATTCTATTTTTAGTGTATTGTTATTTTACGTGAATTGTGTAGTTGACTGCCTGCCGCTGCGTCTCGCACCAAAGTAAAGGGTACGTCTGTAACTTTTGGGAGCACTCAAATAAGTGCTGTTATTTTGCTCTTACAGCATTGCAGTGTCAATTTAGAGCTGTTATGTGTATGTTATGTATTATAATATATGCCTTGTAGTTATGTACAGTGTACAGTTTGTACATTTATTCATTATATTTTTTGTCTGTTCTTTGTTGCAGACCACACACACACACACACACACGTTACATATTTGTAACACACCGTGAATGTGAATAAACCAACGACTGAGAAAAATATCCCCCCTCTGGACCCTGATTCTCTGACCGGAATCTTTCCATACTGTTGCCGCCTCAACCAGTGTATATCCCTTAGTGGGCTGTTTTGTGTTGTAAGGAGTTTGAGTTAGGGTTGATTGTTGGTTTGTGTGGTTGGTGGTTGTTGTAGGTGGTGTTGTTTGTTTTGGGGGTGTTTTTGTGTGTTGGTTTGGTTTGTTGGTGTTGGTGTGTGTTGGGTGGTGGTTGGTTGGTGTTGTTGTGTTGGTGTTGTTGTTGTTGGTGAGTTGTGGTTGGTAGGTTTTGGTAGGTTTTTTTTGTGTTGGGTGGAGGTTGTTGTTGGTTTTTTGATGTAGGTGTTGTTGTGGGTTGTGGTTTTGTTGTTGGGTGTGTGGTTGTGGTTGTGGTTTTGTGTTGGTGGGTTTTTGGTTGGTGGTGTTGTGGTTGGTGTGTTTGTGGTGGTTGGGTTGGTTGGGGGGGGGGGGGGGGGTGGTTGGGGTGGGGGTGGTGGTGTGGTGGTGGTTGTGGTGGGGGGGGTGGGTGTGTGGTGGGGGGGGGTGTGGGGGGGGGGGGGGGGTTGGTTGGGGGTTGTGGTGTGGTGGTTGGTTTGGGGGAGTGGTTTGGGTTTGTGGTGGTATTTTGGGGTGGTTGTTGGTGGGTGTGTTTTGGGGTTATTTGTGGGTGTGGTTTGTGGGTGTGTGTGGGGTGGGTTATTGGTGTGGGTTTGGTGGTTTTGTTGGGGGTGGGGTGTGTGTGTGTTGTGGTTGTGTGGGAGTGTAGATGTGGTGGTGTGTGTGGTGGGTGTGGGTTGTGTGGTGTGTGTGTTGGTGTGTGTGGGGGTGTGTGTTGGTGGTGTGTGGGGATGTGTGTGGTGTGTGAGTGGGTGTGGGGGGGTGTGGGTGTTGTGTGTGTGGGTGTGGGTGTTGTGTTGGTGTTGAGTGAGGTGTGTGTGGTGTGTGTGGTTGTGTGGTGTGAGGGTGTGTGTGTGTAGGTGTTGAGGGAAGTGTGAGAGGAGTGAATGGGGGGGAGTGTGTAGTGGGGTGTGAGATGGGAGAGAGATGGGAGTGTGAGTGTGTGTGGGTGGTGTGTGGTGTGTGTGGTGTGTGTGGTGTGTGTGTGTGTGTGTGGGGTGTGTGTTTTGGTGTGTGTGGTGTGAGTGGTTGTGTGGTGTGTGTGTGGTGTGTGTGGTAGGTGTGGTGTGTTTTTGTTTGGTGTTTGGGTGGGTTGGGTGGGGGTGTTTTGGGGGGGGTGTGTTTGGGTGGGGGGGGTAGGGGTGTTGGGGTTTTGTTGTGGTTTGGGTTGGGGGTGGGGGTGTGGGGGGGGGGGGTGTGGTGGGTTGTGGGTGGGTTGGGGGGGGGGTGGGTGGTGGGGGGTTGGGGTTTGGGTGGGGGGTTGGGGGGGGGGGGGGGTTGGTGGTGGGGGGTGGGTGGGGGTGGTGTGTGGGGGGGTTGTGTGGGGGTGGGGGAGTGTGGGGGGGGGTTGGTTGGTTGGGGGGGGGGTTTGGGGGGTGGTGGGGGGGGTGGGTTTGTGGGGTTGGTGGGGGGTGGGGGTTTGGTGTGGGGGGGGGGGTTGGTGGGGGTGTTTGTGTGTTTTTTGTGTATGTGAGTGTTTTTGTTTTGTGTGTGTTGAGAGTTTGGTGGTTTTATTTTTTGTGTTTTTGTGTTTGTGGTAGTGGGGGGTTTGGGGGGTTTGGGGGTTGGGATGGGTATTTGGGTTAATGTGTTAGGTGGAGGGGGGTAGGTAGTAGGGTTGGTGTATGTTATGATTGTTTTTATGTTTAGAAAGGGGTGTGGGGGGTGGGGTGTGGGGGGGGGGTAGGGTGGGGATGGGGGGTGAGGGGGGGGGGGTAGGTGGGGGTTGGGTTTGGAATTGATAATGGTATGGTTGTTGTATGAGGGTATGTTGGGATGGGGAATTAATGAATGAAGGGGAATGGTATGATGGTGTTGGATATTAAGGGAATGTGGGGGGTTTGGGGGTATGGGGGTGTGATGTTTTGTGTTGTTTGTTGTATTTGGGAGGGTGTGTGATGTTGGGGGTTGGGGGTGTGGGGTGGTTTGGGTTTTGTATGGTTAATTGTTTGTGGTGGATAAATAGTAGGGTAGTGGTTATGGTTGATTGATTAGTTTGGTTGTTTGGGGTGGGGGGTGGGGGGAGTTTGGGTGGGGTGGGGGATTGGTAGGGGGGGTGTGAGTGGTGTTGTTTGATGTTTTGTGTGTTGGGTTTGGGGTAGGGTTTTTTTTTGATGTATTGGGGGTGTGGTTGGTGGTTAGTTGTGATTTGGGGGGGGGAGGGGGGGAGTTAGTAGTGGGTAGGTTGGTAGTTGGTAGATTGTGTTTGTGGTTGTGTGGTGGGGGGGGGGGGGGGGGGGGGGGGGGTTGTGTAGGGATTTGTGGGGTGGGTGGTTGGGGGGGGTGTGTTTGGGTGGTATGTGGTGGGGGGTTGTTTGAGTGGGTGGTGGGGGTTTTGGGTTATGTGGGAGTGTGGGTGGTGGGGGGTGGGGGGGGTTGGTGTGGTGTTTGTAGAGGGTGGGGGTGGTTTGTGGGGTGGGTTTAGGTGGGGGTGGTTTGTGGGTGGGGGGGGGTGGGGGGTGTTTGGTGGGGTTGTTGTTTTTTGTTTGTTGGGGGTGGAGGGGTTGGTGTTGGGTGTTGGGTTTGGGTTTTGTGGTGGGGTTTTGGGTTGGTGTTGTGGGGGGTGTTTTAGTGGGGGTGTTGGGGGTTTTTTGGTTGGGTGGGGGGGTGTTTGGTGGTGGTGGGTGGGGTGTGGTTGGTGGTGGGTGTTGTTTGGATTGGTGGGTTGGGGGGTGTGGTTGTGTGGGGGTGGTTGTTGGGGGGTTGTGTGGTTTGGGGAGTATGGGTGGGTGGGGGGAGTTGGGATGAAGGGGGGTTGGTAAGTGGGTGGATTGGGGGTTGGGTGTGTTTTTTGTTGTTGGGTGTGGTTTGGGTTGTGGGGAGGTTGGGTGGTGTTGTGTTTGGTTGTTGTTTTTTGTGGTGTGGGGTTGGGGTGGTGGGTGGGGGGGGGGGGTGTGGTGAGTTTGTGATTTGGGGGTTTGGTTGGTGTGGTGGGTGGGGTTGGGATTGGGGGGGGTTTTGTGGTGTGGGTGGGTGGGGGGTTGTGGGTGGGTTAGTTTATTGATGGAGTTGTGGGTGTGGGGGGTGTTGTGTTTTGTTGTGGTGGTGGGTGGGTGGAATGGGGGGGGGGGGTTGTGGTGTGTGGTGTTTTGGTTGGTAGTGTTAATTTTGGTTGGGTTTGTGTTGTTTGGGTTGTGGTGTGGGGGTTGTTGGGGTGTTGGGGGTGGGTTGGGGAGTGTGGGGGGGGGTGTTTGTTTTTGTGTGGTGGGGTGGGGGGTGGGGGTTGGATTTTGGGGGTGGTGGGTGGGGAATGGTGTTTGTTTGTTTGGTGTGTGTTGTTTGTTTGTGGGTGGGTGAGGGGTTGGTGTTTTGGGTGTGGTTTAAGGGTGGATTTTTTGTGGTTGGGGGTTATTTGAGTGTATGGGGGGGATGTGTTGGGATGGGGGGGATGGGGTGGGGGATGGGTGGTTGGTTGGGTTGTGGGTTTGGTGATGTGGGTTTGTTGGGTGTGTGGTTTTTGGGGGGGTTTGGTGTAGGGTGTGTGGTTTTGTGGGGGGTGGGTGGGGGTTGTGGGGTGGATGGGGGGGGGGGGGGGGGGTGGGGTTGGGGGGTGGGTGTTGGGGGGGGGGTGGGGGTTGTTGTGTGGTTGGTTGGTGTGGGTTTGTGTATTGGAGGAGGGGATAAAAAGGGTGGGGGGGGGGGGTATAAATATGATGGGTGATTAGATAGGAAATGTAATGTGGTGGGGAGAGGAAGTTGAGTGAAGATGAATTTAGGTGTTTGGATATGTTGTTGTGGAGTATGTAGATGGTGTTTGTTTGGTTGGGGGGTATGTAGGAATAGAAGAGATGGTATGGAGGATGTATTTGGGATGGGTGGTATTGTTATGTTTAGTGGGTTGGGGATTTTGGATTTTTGGGTGGGGGGTTGGTATTGGGTTGGGTTGGGTAGGGTTTGGTTGTGGTTTGTGTGTTTTTGGTTTTTGGTGTTTGTGGGGTGGTGTGTGTGGGGGGTTTGGTGGGGTGGGGGGGGGTTTGGTGATGTGGGGGGGGGTGGGTGGTGTAGGGTGGTGGGGGTTGTGTGTGGTATGTGGGTGGTGTGTGGGGTGTGGGTTGGTGGTTGGTGGTTGGGTTTTTTTGGGGGTGGTTTTGGTGGGGGGTGGTGGGTGTTGTTGGGGGTTTGGTTTGGGGGGTGGGTGTGGGGGTGGGATGTGTTTGGTTTAGGTGGGGGTTGTTGGGGTGGTGTTGGGGGTGGGGGGGGTTGGGTGTGTGGTTGGGTGGTGGGGTGGTGTTAGTTTGTGTTGTGTTGGGGGTTGGGATATGTTGTAGTTGTTGTTGGGGGTTGTTTTGGGTAAGGGTTTGGGTTGGGGTGTGTTGTTTGGAGTTGTGTTGGTTATAGGAGTGAGTTTTTTGTTGGTTTGTGGGTTGGGTTGGGTGGGTTTGGGGGGGGGGGAGTGGGTAGGGGGGGGGGTGTAGGTTGTGGAAATGGTTTTTTTTGGTGGGTGTGTTGATATGGAGGTTAAAAGGATTGGGTACTATAATGGTTTTTTTGTGGGTGGTGGGGTGGGGGGGGGGGGGGGATGGGGGTGGGGGGGGTGGGAGGGGGGGGTTGGGGGGGGGGTTTTTATGGGGAGATTTGTATTTTGTTATGTTAGTGTAATTGGTTGTTTTATGGGGTTGAGGGTGTGTGGGATTGTGTTTTGGTTTTTGTGGGGGTTTATTTTGGTGTTTGGGTTGTGTGGTGTTAGGGGGGAGGTGTGGTTTATGTGTTTTATGGATTGTGTTTTTGGTGTTTGGGGGGGGTTGTGGGGGGGGGGGGTTTGGGTGGGTGTTGGGTGGTTGGTTGGTGTGTGGGGGGTTGGGGTGTTGGGTGTGTTGTGGGTTGGTGGTTTTTTGTGGTTTTGGTTGTGGGTTTTGGTGGGTGGTGGGGGGGAGGGGGGGGGGTGGTTGTTGTTGTTTTGGGGGGGTTGGGGTGGTGTGGGGGGTTGGTTGAGGTGTGTGTTGTGGTGGGGGGGGGAGGGGGGGGGGGGTTGGTGATGTGGGGGTTGGGTGGTGTGGGGGGGGGGTGGGTTGGGGGTATGTGGTTTGTTGTGTTTTGGGTGTGGGTTTTGGGTGGTGTTGTTGTTTGTGGGGTTTGTGGGGTTGTGTTTTGGTGGGTTTTGTGGGTGGGTGAAGGGGGGGGGGTTTTGGGTTATTGGGGTTTGGGTTGTGGGGGTTGGGGTGTTGGGTGTTGGTGGGTTTTTGGTGTTTGGGGTGTTGGGGGGGTTGGTGTGTGTTGGGGGGTTGGGGGTTTGGGGGGTTGGGGGGTTGGGGGGTTGGGGGGGTTGGGGTTGGGTGGGGTTTGTGGTGGGGGGGTTTGGTTTGTTTTGGGTGTTGGGGTTGGGGTGTTGGTGTGTTGTGTGGGTGGGGTGTGTGGGTTTGGTTGTGTGTGGGTGGTATTGGTTGTGGTTGGTTGTGTGGTTGGTGTGGTTGTGGGGATGGTGTTTGGTGGTGGGTTGTTGGGGTTGGTGGGGGGTTTGTTTTGGTGTTGTGTGTTGGGTGGGTGGGGGGTTGGGTTGGTGGGGGGGGGGGGGTTGTGGGGGTGGGTGTGTGTTGGGGTGGTTGGGGGGGGTGTGGTGGGTGGGGGTGGGTGTTTGGGGGGGGGTGGGGGGTGTGGGTGTGTGGGTTGGTGGTGTTGTGTGTGGGTGATTGGTGGTGGGTTTGGTGTGGGGTTTGGTGTTGGGGGTTTGTGGTGGGGTTTGTGGTGGTTTGGTGGGGGTGGGGTTTGTGTGGGGTTTGTTGGTGGGTTGTGTGGGGTTGGTGGTGGGTTTGTGGTGGGTTTGGTGGTGGTTTGGTGGTGGGTTGGTGGGTGGGGTTGTGGTGGGTTGGATGGGTGGGTTTTGTGGTGGGTTTTTGTGGGGGGGGTGGGGGGGTTTTGGTGGGTGGGTTTTGGTGGGGGGGGGGTGGGGGTTTGGTGGTTGTGTGGGGGGGGGGTGTGGGGTTTGGTGGTGGGGGGGGTGGGGGTGGGGGGGGGGGGGGGGGGTGGTGGGGTGTGTGTGGGGTGGGGGGGTGGGGGGTGTGGGGTGTTTTGGGTTGTTTTGGGTTTGGGTGTTTGGGGGGGGTGGTGGGTGGGGGAGGGTTATGGTGGTTGGGAGGTGTGTGTGTGGGGTGGTGGGGGTTTGGTTGGGGGGGGGGGGGTGTGGGGGGGGTTGGGGTGTTTGTGGGGTTGTTGGTTGTGGTGGTGGGGTTGTATTTTGGGGGGGGTTTTTGGGGTTGGTTATTTTGTTGATGTGTTTTGGGGGTGGGTTGTGTGGTTGGGGGGGGGGGTGGGTTTGTGTTGTTGGTTGTTGGGGTGGGTGGTGGGGTGGGTTTGGGTGGGGGTTGGTGGGGTGGTTGTGGGGGGGGGGGTTGTGGTGGGGTGAGGGTGGGGGGGTGTGGGGGGTGGGGGTGTGTTTTGGGGGGGGTGTTGGGGTTTGGGGGGGTTTGGGGGGGGGTTGGGTGTTGGTGTGGTTTGGGGGGGGGTTGTGGTGGGTTGGTGGGGGGGGGTTGGGGGGGTGTTTGGGGGGTGGGGGGTGTTGGGGGTGGTGGGTTGGGGGGTTGGGTGGGGTGGGGGGGGGGTGGTGGGTGGTGGGGGGGGGGTTGGGGGTTGGGGGGTTGTGGGGTGGGGGTGGTTTGGGTGGGGGTGGTGTGGGGTGTGGGGGGTTGGGGGTGTTGGGGTGTGTGTGGGTTGGGTTTTGGTGTTGTGGGGTGTTGGGGGTGTGGGTGGGTTTGTTTTTGGGGTGGTGGGGGGGGGGGTTTGGTTGGTTGGTTGGGGTGGTTTTGGGTTTGGTGTGTGGTGGTGTTTTTGGGTGTTGGTGTGGTTTGGGGGGGGTGGGGGGGTTGGGGGTTGGGTTTGGTGTTTTTTGGGGTTGGGTTTGTGGGGTGTGTGGGTTGGGTGGGGGGTTGGGGGGGGGGGGTGGGGTGGTGGTGGGGTGTGGGTGGGGGGGGGGGGGGGGGGGGGGTGGGGGGTGGGGGGGGGGTGGGGGGGTTGGGGGTTTTTGGAGGGTTGTGTGTGTGTTGTTTGTGGGTGGGGTGGGTGGGTGGGTGTTGGGGGTTGGTGGTGGGTGGGGTGGGGGGGGTTGGGGGGGTGGGTGTTGGGGGGTTTTGTGTGGGTGGTTGTGGGGGTGGGGGTTGGTGGTTGTGGTTGGGGGGGTTTGTTTGTGGTTTGGGTGGGGGGTGGGGGGGGGGGTTGGGGGGGTTTGGGGGTTTTGTTGGGGGTGTGTGGGTGTGGGGGTGGTGGGTGGGGGGGGGGGGGGGGTTGTTGTTGTGGTTTGTGTTTTTGGTTTGTTTGGTGGGTGGTGTTTGGTGGGGGTTGTGTGTGGTTTTGGGTTTGGGGTGTGGTGTGGGGGTGGTGGGGGTGTGGTGGGGGGGGGGTGGGGTGGGGTGGGGGTGTGGGTTGGTGGGGTGGGGTTGGGGGGGGGGGGGGGGTGTTTTGGTGTTGGTTGTTGTGGGGGAGGTTTTTGGTGGGTTGGTGGGGGTTGGTGGGGGGGGGGTGGGGGGGGTGGGTGGTGGTTGTTGTTGGGGTTGGGGGGTGGTGTGGGGGGTTGGTTGGTTGTTTGTGGTGTGGGGGGTTGGTGTTGGGGGTGGTTTGTGTGGTGTGGTGTTTTGTGTTGGGGGGGGGGGGGGGGGGTTTGTGGGGGGGGGTGGGTGGGGTGTTGGTTGGGGTGGGGGTGGTGTGTTTGGGGGGGGGTGGGGGTGGGGGGGGGTGTGTGTGGGGTGGTGGTGGGGGGTGGGGGGTGGGGGTTGTGGGGGTGGTGTTGGGTGTGTGGTGGGGGGGGGGGGGGGGGGTGGGTTTGTGGGTGTTGGGTTTTTTTGTTGGGTGGTGGTTGGGTGGGGGGGTGGGTGGGGTGTTGGGTTTGGGGTGTGTGGGGGGTGTGGAGGTGTGGGGGTGGTTGTGTTGTGGTGGTTTGTGTGGGTGTTGGGGGGGGTGGGGGGGTTGGGTGTGGGGGGGTTGGGGGGGGTGGGGGGGGTATGTGGTAGTTGGGTTGTTAGGTGGGGGGGTGGTTGGTGGTGGGGGGGGGGTTGTTGTTTTGTGGGGGATGATTGGTTTTTAGTGGGGGGGGGGGGGGGGGGGGGGGGGTTTTGGGGAGTAATAGATGATGATTAAGGGTATTTAATGGTAATTAAGAGTGGGTGGTGAGGATGGGATATGTATGGGGGGTGGAGGTTGTGGGTGTTTGATAGGTGATGGAGGTGAAGGGGGGGGTGGGGGGGGGGGTTATGGGGGGTGGGTGTGGGTGGGGTGGGGTTTTGTTGGGTGGGTGGGAGGTGTGGGGGTGTTGGGTGGGGGGGTGGGGGGTGGGGGGTTGGGGTTGTGGGGGGTGGTGGTTGTGTTTGGGTGTTTGTTGGGGGTTGGGTGGTGGGGGTGTGTGGTTGGGGGGGTGGGTTGGGTGTGTGGGTGGTGGTGTGGGGGGGTGGTGGTGGGGTGTGTTGAGGTGGGGGTGTGTGGGTGGGGGGTGGTGGGGGGGTGGGGTTGTGTGGGGGGTGTGGTGGGGGGTGTGTGGGGGGGTGTTGGTTTGGGGGGTGTTTTAGTGGGTTGGGGGGGGGGGGGGGGGGGGGGGGGGTTGGTTGGGGGGTGGGTTGTGTGTGGGGGGGTTTGTGGGGGGGGGGGGTGGGTGGGGTTGGGGGGGGGGGGGTTGGGGGGGGTTTGGTGGGGTGGGGTGTTGGGGTGGGGTTTGTTTTTTGTGGGTGGGTGGTTGGGTGGGGGGGTGGGGGTTGGGGGGGGTGGGGGGGTTTGTGTGTTTTTTTTTGTTTTGGGGGGGGGGGGGGGGGGGGGTGGGGGGTGGGGGGTGTGGGGGGTGGGTTTGTTGGGTGGGGGTGTTTTTTGTTTGTTGGGGGTTGGTGGGTGGGGGGGGTGGGTTGTGGGGGGGGTGGGGGGGGGGGTGTTGGGGGGGTGGGGTGTTTGGGGTGGTGGGTGGGGGATGTGGTGGGGGGGGGTGGGGGGGTGGGGGGGGGTGGTGGGGTTGTGTTGTGGGTGGGTGTTTGTGGGGTGGGGGTGGGGGGGTGGGTATTGTTTTTTGTGGGGGGGGGGGGGGGGGGGGGGGGTTTGGGGTGGTGGGTGGGGGGGTGTGTTTATAATAGGGGTGTGGTTAGAGGGTTTTTGTTTGTTTTGGTGGTTGTTGGATGTTTTTTGATTAGTTAGTGGTTTGGTGGGGATTTGGGGGGGGAAAGTAAGTATTGGGGGGGGTGGGTTTGTGGGTTGTTTTTGGTTTGTTTGGTGGGGGGTTGGGGGGTGGGTGGGGGATGTGTGAGTTTTGGGGGGTGGTTTGGTGTGTGTGGGGGGGGGTGTGTGGGGGGGTGTGGGGGGTTGGGGTGGTGGGGGGGGGGTTGAGGGGGGGGGTGGGTGTGGGGGGTTTGGGTGGGTTTGGTTGTTTTTTTTTTGTTTGGGGGGGGTTTTGGGGTGAGGGGGGGTTTGGTTTAGTATGGGGTTGTTGTTTGTATTATTGGGGGTTTTTTGTTGGGGGGGTGGGGTTGTGTTTGGGGTTGGTGGGGGGGGTGGGGTGGGGGGGGGGGTGGGGTTTGGGTTGGGGGGGGTGTTGGGTGGTGGGGTGTGGGGGGGGGGGTGGTGGTGGGGGGGTGGGGGGGGGGGGGGGGGGGTGTTGGTGTGTGTGGGGGGTGTGGGGTGTGGGTTGTTTGTTTTTAGGGATGGTGTTTGGGTTAGTGTTAGTGGTTGGTGTTGTGTTGTTTGGGTGGTGTTGTGGTTGGTGGTGGTTTGGTTGGTGTTTGTGGTTGGTTTGGTGTGGTTGGGTGGTGTTGTGGTTGGGTGGTGTGTGGTTGGGGGTGGTGTTGTGTTGGTGGTGATGTTGTTGTGGTTTGTGGTTGGTGGTTTTGTTGTTGTGTGGTGGGGTTGTAGGTTGGGGTTTTTTGGTTGGTGTGTTGTGGTTGGTGTTTTGGTGGTGTTTTTGTTGTTGGGGTGGTGGGTTGTGGTTGTGGTGTTGTGGTTGGTGTGTTTTTGGTTGGGGTGGTTTTGTTTTGGTGTTTTGTGTGGGGGGGGTGTGGTTGGTTGGGGGGGGGGGTGTGGGTTGGTTTTGGGGGGGTGGGGGGGGGGGGGGGGGGGGGGGTGTGTGGTGGGTGTTTTTGTGGGTTGTGGGGTGTGGGGGTGGTGGGGGGGGGTTGGTGGGGGGGGGGGGGTGGGTGTGGGGGTTTGTGTTGTGGTTGGGGTGGTTATGGGTTTTGGTGGTGGTGTGAGTTGTTGGTGGGATAGGTTTGTTGTTTGTTGTGGAGGTGGTTTTGTGGGTTGGGTGGGGTTTGGGTGGGGGGTGGGTTTGGGTTTGTTGTGGGTGTGTGGTTGTGAGAATGTGGGGAGTGTAGTGGGAGAGAGAAGGGGGAGAGATGAGTGGAGTGAGAGGTGTGAGTGTGGAAGATGAGAGGGGATTTTATGTGTGGTGTGTAGTGTGGTGGTGTGTGTGGGGGTATAGTGGAGAGTGTGTGGTGTGTGTGTGTGTGTTTGGGGTGTGGGTGTGGTGTGTGTGTGGGTGTGTGTTGTGTAGTGTGGGTGTGTGTAGTTGAGTGGTTTGTGTGTGGGTGTGAGTGGGTGTGAGTGGTGTGAGAGTGAAGGGGTGTGTGTGGGGAGAGTGTGTGGGTGAGTGTGGTGTGAGTGAGGTGTTGTGTGGTGAGTGTGTGTGTTGAGGTGTTTGTTGTGGTGAGTGTGGATGAGTGTGTTGTGAGTGGGGTGTGATGTTTGGGGTGTGTGTGGGGATGTTGTGTGTGTGTGGGGGTGTGTGTGGGTGTTGTGAGGGGGGATTGTGTGGTGTTGTTGAGTTTGGTTTGTTGGGGGGGGGAGGGTGGGGGTGTGTGGGGGGGGTGGGGTTTTGGGTGGGGTGGTTGGGGGGTGTTGGTTTTGGTTGTGGTTGGGGGTGTTGTGGGGTGTGGTGGGGGTTTGGGTGGGGGTGGTGGGAGGGTAGGGGGTTTTGGGTGGTTTGTGAGGGTTAGGGGGGGGTTGAGAGGGGGGGGGGGGTGGTTTGGGTGGTGGTGTTTGGGGTGGTTGGGTGTGGGAGGTGTTAGTGGGGTGGGGTGTGGTGTGGTGGGGTGTGTGGTTTGTGGGGTTGGTGGGTGTTATGGGGGGTGTATTGGTTTGGTGGTGGGGGGGGGGGGGGGTTTTTTGGGTGGGGGGGTGTGGGGGGGTGGTTGGGTGTTTGTGGTTGGTTGGGGGGGGGGGGGTGTTGGGGGGGTGTGGGGGGGGGTTGGGTTTATATTTATTTGATTTATAGATTTGATTATTTTATTATATTTTATTTAATTTTAGGATATGGATATATTTAGTTATTATGTTATATAATATGATAATAGTAGTGGGGGGGTTTGGGTAAGGGTTTGTTGGTGGTGGGGGTTTGTGGTGTTATGTTGAGGGGGGTAGGGTAGTAGGGTTGGGGGTTGTATTTTTTATGGGATGTTTATTTATTTAGAGGGGTTTGGTGGGGGTGGGGGGTGGGGGGGGGAGGGTGTGGGTTGTGTGGGGGGGGGGGGGGTGTTGGTTGGGTTGTGTTTAGAATGGGAAGTGGAGTTGGGATGAGGGGGGGGGGGTATGGTTTGATAGAATGAATGATTAATGGAATAATTTGTTAGAAATGGTAAGGGAATGAGGGTGTTGGGGGATGGGGAGGAGTAGATAAGATTAAGATTGATTAATGGGAGGGAGAGTTAGAATGTGGGTTGTTGGTTTTGTGTGGTGATTGTGTAGAGAAAAAGGGGGGGTGGGTAAGGTGGGATAAGGGGGGAGGTTGAAAAATAAGGGTGATTAGGTTAATTGGATTGTTAGTAAGGGGATGAGGGGGTTGGGGGGGGGTTGGAGTAGGGGTGTGGTGGGGGATAAGGTAGGGGGGGTTTAGAAGAAGGTAGAAGAAAGAATTTTGTTGGGGTTTTGTGATTGAGGGATTGGGGGGTTTTTTTAGTAGGTGGTGTTGTGATGTTGGTATGAGTGAGATTGGGGTGTGGAGGTTGAGGAAGGTTGAAGATGGAGGATTGTGTTAGGTATTGTGGTTTGGGTGGGGGGGGGGTATTTGTTGGTAATGGGTGTGGGGTTGTGGGTGGGGGGGGTGAGTGGGGAGGTGGGGGTTGGGGGGGGGATGGGTGGTTTGTGTTGGTGTGGGTGGGGGGGTGTTAGGGGGGTTTGTGGTTTTGTGTGGGTGTTGGGGGGGGTGTTGGTGTGGGTTATTTTGTAGAGTGTGTGGGTGGTGGTTGAGTGGTGGTGTTTTTGGGGGGGTGATTATGGTTGTGGGGGTGGTTGGGGGGGGTTGTTGGGTGGGGTAGGTATATATTAGAATGAATGTTTGATGTGGTTTGTGTTGGGTGAATGGATAGGTTTTGGTGGGTTAGGGTGGTTTGGGTGGGGTTGGATGGGGGTTTGTTGGGGGAGTTGGGGGGGGGGGGGTATGTTGTTGGGGGGGGGTTTTGTGGTTGTGGGTGGGGGGGGTGGTGGGTGGTGGGGGTTTGTTTTGGTTTGGTGTGGGGGGGGGGGGGGGGTGTGTTGGGGTTTGATTGTGGTATGGGTGTGATGGGGGTTTGTGTGGTGTGTGTGTGGTGGGGGGTTGTGGTGTGGTGTTGGTTTTGTGTGGGTTGTGGGGTGTGTGTTGTTTGGTGTTGTTGTTGGGGTTTTGGGGGGTGTTGATTGGGTGGGTGGGGTTGTTGGTTGTGTTTTGGAGTTTGTTGTGTTTGTGGGTTGGTGTTTGGTGGGTGGGGTTGGGTGTGGTTGTGTATGTTTGTTAATGATTGGGGGGGGGGGGGGGTGGTGGTTGTGGTGGTGTGGGGAGGGATGGTGTGGTTGGGTGGGTGGGGGGTTGGGGGGTGGTTGGGTGGGGGGGTTGTGGTGGGGTTGTTTTTTTTGGTTGGGGGGGATGGATGGAGTTGGGGTTGTGTGTTTGTGGTGGTGGTGGGGGGTGGGGGGGTCGGGGGGGGGTGTGTGGGGTGGGGGTGTGTGGTGTGGTGGGTGTTTGGTGTTTTGGTTGTTGGGTTTGGGGTGGGGGTGGGGGGTTGGGGGGTTGGGGGGGTGGGGGGGGGGGGTTGTTGTTGGTTTGTGGGGGGGGGGTTGGGTTGTTTTGTGGTTGTTTGGTTGGGGTGTGTTGTGTGTGTTTGTTGGTGGTGGGGTTTGGGGTTGGTGTGGGGGTGGGG